TGTCTCTTAGCCAAATATCACTATCTGTACGATTTTTTAACCATAACTGCATCAAAAAATGCTAGGCAAAAAGCTTTTGATAGAATTGGAGGATACGGGGATATCCTCAATCTCTAACCTAAAAAAAGCGAATGATGAACTACTTACCCAGTTTTAGCAAAATTAATGAATGACTGTTGAATTACATCTGCAACTACTCGCTCCTTTTCGTCCATCTCAAAATTACCCAAAATGTACAGACCAAAGATGTACGGATACTCGTTGACGTGTGGAGAACCTGAGACGGAGTTTGAGGTAGGCAAAATGGTTGACTCCCCTAATGGACGAGTTACCTCGCAATCTTTCCGGCACACTCGAGTTCCATATGGCATCATTATAGTGGTCAAAAGAGTACGCATACATTTTCCAACCTGCTTTTCTCCGAGCTAGGATACCATCAACCGATGCTACATTGAGGAGAATATCACTCATGAACTAAATATGAATTTCCAAAAAAATCCGTGGTTGGTTCACAGAAAAATTCGAAAGTACTAATTAGGGGAATATTTACCTCTGTATATCGATCAAGGTAGAATTCGTAGCTGTGCTCCTCATCACGCTCCACATAATGTTTGATAACCTCTTCTAGTACAGTAGCTGTGTGATTTTTATGGTAATTACCAACAAGTTTCTGAAGGAGGTTTATATCGTATAGTTATCTACTTCAAGGATTGTAGTGATATTTGCGTGAGACTTACCTCAAGTTTTTGTATCAATGTTTTCCTATCAAACTTGCGAAAATCTTCCACTTTTACCCCAAATTTGTGGATGTAAGGTGAGAGGCCTTTTATAGCTGAAAACAATATTTTTTCACTAATTTTATAAAAAAGGGGCATCATAATTATCGATGTTACAAACAAGGGCCAGTCAAAGTCAAATTCTTGAGAGTCAAATTACATTTTATTTTGAATAAACTGTACAGTCAAACAGATAAAGTGGTGCTTGTAAGGATGGCCTATCTTTGTTTTGGTTTTTTTGAACAACAATTTTTCGGCAATATTAGTTGACAAAGTAAAACTTATTTTCAAACAACTTTTCCTGAACGAATACTACCTATGTTCATCGGATATGTGTATTGCTTCATACACTTACTAAAGAATGACGCGTCCTTGTTTGACACTCCAACTATTGATGGCTTTGGTGGAGCAGAAAGTGTCATTTCATCCGGATGTTGCAGAAATTCTCCATCAATAACTGGCCCCCATTTGATACAGCCCAGTTCATCTTTCGTATAGCCATGAAATGAGACATTTGTACCTCTAAAGCAGGCCCTAGCTGAAAACTGAAAACTTACTACTTTCTGGACAGCACTGTAAATTTCTTCCACCGTTGCTTCTTTCATACAAGTTTTCAGATCATCTCGAGCACAGCGCAGTTCCTTGAAGTGATATAATGAAAAGTTTTTTGGTCACGGATTAGCTTCTAGTGGAGTTTATGTAGTAAATGACAAAATTTGCTTACCTCAGCAAGCTTGAGCGAATCGTTAGCAACCGCTGATCCCAAGGCCCAGTAAGCCCAAGGAGATCCAGACATTTCGATAGATCCAGCGATATAATCTAAACTACAGCTTTTTAAGATTATTCTATCTCTTCGAAAGTGTGAAAGAAAAGAAATAGAGAGGACAGATCTGTAAGATTTTATGACTTTTCTATTCCAATTCGCCTCCTCTCCTTTCTTCCTCTGGCAAAAAAAGGATGAAAAATGTTGATAAACCCATATTCACCGAATATTGGAAAAAATTACTTGTATTGAACAGCTAGAATTTTAGAAAGCAGGTGAATATATCCCCCCCCCC